GTTATGTTTTTCTCTGTTTGTAAAACCATTAGGTTGCCAAACATAGTTGACTAAAAAACTATGTGATCGCCTGTTTGATTATGAAATTCGAAACAAAGTGGATAACAAAGAATTAAGATGTTATGATAATTCAGAATAATGAATCAACTCAAAAAAAAAGAAAAAAAAAAGAAAAAGAAAAAAAAAAGAGACGAATTGAGGATACTCAATCCACTATTAGTGGTTTTAACATAATCACCCACTCAAATTGATTGTGGGTTTGTACTGTTTAGGTAATACCATTGAGTGGTGTAAGACTCTTTCTTTTCGACCTTGGTTCCGTAGGAGCAAGTCAGAGAGATTGAGAAAATAGAACTATCTGATTTGATTCGTTCTTAATAGCCATGAGATGATCAAATTTCGGTGATCCTTTTGTTAATGGATGCTCCTATTATACTCGTAGTCTCTAAAGGATGATAACCAACTATGTAGCATCTACATCGAGAATTCAATATGTCATTAGTCCGATCCTTTGTAGGAATTACTCGTAATAACGAACTTGCAAAATGGATTTGCTTATCATAACGAGATTCATTGTTCTTGACCCTACTTCACCTTAATTGTTATTTGAACAAGTAAAAGTTTTGTCATGCAAAAAACGGATACCCATTGCCATTTTGGATGGAACAAATCTATTAATTCTTTGATTCCAGATAGTAAGAGAGATCTTGAACTAAGAAATAGACCCTAGAAGCTAAAAAAGGATATCCTGAGCAATTGCAATAATCAGGTTCATTGATATTCCTGGTATAGTAGATGCTATCACACATACAATCATACTCAATTCAATGGAATTGTTTGATCTTTTATGAATCTCTTCCTTTTTGCGTATGACCTCGCCACTTCCTTTGGTAGCATCCACTAATTCGGAACTTAATTTGAAAACCATATTTCAATCTGGAAGTTTTTGGGATGCCACTAATAACCAACAAATGGCAAGTGCTTTTCCTTGTGTGGATCCTATTTCAGTGGGAACTTGATGAGTCGATCCACCTACACGTCTTGCTTTTACTACTATGTCAGGAGTTACTCCATGTATTGCTTGATGTAAAATAGATAGTGGATTTGTTTGTCTTTTTTTGAATCATTTTCATGGCTCAATAGATAATTTGATAAGCCAATGTTTTATTTTTTATTTTTATTTTTGTGTTTCAGAATACGGTTAACCAACATATTAACTAATCAATTGCGATAAATTGGATCAGATTTTGCAGTTTTTTCTTGTGCAGTACCTCGACGTGACATGAGCGTGAAAGACATTCAAGATTCCGTTTTCTTTTTATAAGGGCTAAAATCACTTATTTTGGCTTTTTTACCCCATATTGTAGGGTGGATCTCGAAAGATATGAAAGATCTCCCTCAAAGCCGTACATACGACTTTCATCCAATACAGCTTTCCACAAAATTCTATATGTCTTTATGAGACCCAGTATGAAATTCTATTTACTCTCTTTAAATTGAGTATCCCTTTCCCTCCTTTTCCTGCTTCACCTTAATTGCTATTTGAACAAGTAAAAGTTTTGTCTTGGAAAGCACTAAGGAAAGTTAGGAATCAACTTATGTAATAGAGTCGATGCACTAAGGTATTGAGCAGTGGTGTAGCATCAAATCCCAAAGATAGCATACCTTTTCTTTCTTATGAAGGAAGGTCTTTTTCAGAAACCAAGATAGTTACCGTTCAAAAACTTCTAACCATAGGGAGAAATGCCTACGCTTTATTCTTCTGAAGGTGGAAGAAAAGATAAAAATAAAACCTAAAAAAGTAGAAAATATGATAAATTTTTCACACTTTTATAATAGTAGTAGATAGTAGATATATGTAACTACAGCAAACAAATTATACATAAATAAAATTGAAGGGGAACTGTGAACCAACCAAATTATGCAAATTCAATGTCCAATATCGTTCTAAATCCAATTCTTTCACATACCAAGACATTCAAAATTCAAATTCCAAAATCATTAAAATGAGTGAACAATAATTTGGTCTAGTCCCAATACTTTTGAAAAGTCAAAAATTACAATAATGATAAGGCAATTGTTCCATGTTGTTCAAATGTCAATTCACTTCAAAAAAGTTTATTTTTATTTATTTTATTTTTTTGGGTGTCAATTACTATTTTTTATTTTATTTTAATTATCATCGTCGAAACATGACGAAACTTCCATAGAAGTGTGCACTGTTGGATTAACTGAAATTTTTTTAAATGTATATATATATATCTAAGAAAAGGCATTAGAATAAAATTTATTGACACTTTCCTTTTTTTCAAATTTAAATAAATTAAATATCTAAAAAATTGGGAGACTGTATGATATTTGGAAAGACAAAAATATCGACTATGCGGGTGATTGTGGACAGTTAATGTCAAGCATGAAAAGATTATATTCATAATTGATCACTTGTAGCAATAAGATGTTTGAATATCTTAAATAATAATAAATAAATATACTGTGTGATTATCATTACGGTTGCACCATCTATTATAAACAAAAATGATACAAAAACTTATTCAAGTGGTTTTTTTTTTTTTTTTTTTTGCAACTAAAACTCCACTTGTAATCGTTGTTTTCGGGATTTTATTGAAACGGTATTTGATGGTTCGAACTTTCTCATTTTCGTTTAATTTTTATGTGTACATTTGTTTGGGTTCATGTCCTCTTATATCTTTGGAAACTGGGATTTGAATTGAACGGCACTATTTTGCTATCACAGCATAGCATTGTTACAGCACCGTCCTCAAATTCTATTCACTTTGCTTGATTTGGGTTTTTTAAAAATATTTTTCAGAAAATATTATTTTCTTATTTTTCATATTTTTTGTTTTTACTAAATTTTTAAAATATTTTAAGTAATTTTTTTAATTTTTAAATATACCTAACATAAATACTCTTAAAAGTATAATTTTCGTGAAAAACATATTTAAAAAATTCACTAAATACCAAAAATACAAAAAAAAAAATAAATAAAGAAATTCAGTATATTTTTCATATTTTTGTGTATTTATTAATTTTTTAAAATATTTTTTTTACAAATATTTTACCTTTTAGTTACATCTAAGTAAGGTGCATCTAAAAAAGTTTTAAAAAAATGATTAAAATTTTAAAAATATTTACTAAAAAAAACTCAAAAAATAAAAACTCAATTTTCAAAAAACTAAATTCAAAAAACTGAAATCAAACACACTAATTAAGTTTTTGGGTTTTACTATTTTTTTTAATTGATTTTCTTTTTAAAAACTCAAAAAAATGTAAGTTTTTGGGTTTTACTCAACTAAACAATCTGAAAAAGTAAAAAATAAAACAAAATTTTGGATAAAAAGTCCTAAAAGGACAAAAGGACAAAAAGACAAAAGGGTCACACAAAAAAAAAAAATAAAATTGATTTTTATTGGTTTTTTTGAATTTTTTATCTTTTATTATTATTATTTTGGAAAATGTCTCGTAGCTCAAATTTTGTGGCTCAAAAGTTGCTCAAATGGCCAAAACGACATCGTTTTGGCCATTTTTATGTTGTTCTGTACTCAAAACGACGTCGTTTTGGCCATTTGAGCCACAAAATTTGAGCTACGTAGCATTGTCGGTATTATTTTTTATTCTTCCGCTCAAAACAGATCGAACAATTAAAAACTTTTGATATAATTTAAAAAAAAAATAAAAATTCGGAACAAAATGATACTTTTATGATGGCTCCTTATTATTAGCCATTAGATGTTGCAAAGTATTGCTCTGTGCGGTCCTGAAAAATTATTAGATATTTTTTAAATATTGTATTATATTGTTTATGTGGCAAAAATAGAATAAAATGGCAATATGTTATTTTATAGTAGGAGTAACACAAATTGAATGATTTCTTTCTTATTAAAAAATATAACGAAGTCATGCAATTATTTATACTCAATCAAATCTAACTAAGTTTGTTACACCAGCTTATCTAACTAACTCTACTTCCATAACCGTATCGGTATTTTCTAACTGAATTTGATCTAGGTGATTTATCATAACTGTCGTGCATATCTTGCATATGTTTGAGCTGTAGCTGATACTTCTCTTGTGGCTCTAGCTGCAGCTGAGACTGTGGCTTGAGCTGTGATTGTTGTGACTTGAGCTGTGATTGTTGTGGCTGTGGCAGTGGCAGTTAGTTATTTATACTCGATCAAATCTAACTAAGTTTCTTACACCAGTCTATCTGATTAACTCTGCTTCCATAACTGTATCTGTATTTTCTAACTGAATTTGATACAAGTGATGTATCATAACTGCCTTGCATATCTTGCACATGTTTGAGCTGTGGCTGATATTTCTCTTGTGGCTCCAGTTGCAGCTAAGACTGTGGTTTGAGCTATGATTGTTGTCACTTGAGCTGTGATTGTTTGTGGCTGTGGCTGTTGTGCCTCAATACTCTTATAAATGAGAATGCTATAATTACTTTTCATTATATTTTTTGCAAATTGGGACACTCTGTCCAAAAGTCCAAATTACAATTTTGTTTGCTTAAAGATTCAAGCGCTGAAACACTTTATCAAAAAGATAAGCTCAAACAAAATGACCAAAATACCCTCTATAAATATCAAAACTCTTCCCTTCTATTCGTCTCGCTCTCTCTCTCTCTCTTTCTCTCTCTGTAACGACCCAAACTTGGCAAGGCAAAACCCCGCCAAGAGGGTGCGCCTCAAACGCTATAGCACCTTTACACCACAATTCCTGTATAATTTTTACATCACATCACCACATCACCAAAAGTGCATAAGACCTTTCAATTGCCCAACATATATGAGATGATCTATTCAAAGACAAAAAGTATTATCATGCTACACGATAGTTCCCAAGCATTTCCTCCCCAAAAATAATACATACTATTCACGAATCCATCAATACATCCAACTTCATAAGCAATTATTTACGATCAACCTCTTTCATAAAAAAAAAAGAAGGTAAACTTACATCCTAGAATGACCCTAAGCAAAACCTCAACTACAAGATGCCCACCTTTGATCCTTCAAAAAAATTCTAGTCTTCCAAGTTGAGGCGAGCCACACAAAAGTCTATGAATCTGAAAAAAAAAATTATTTAAAAAGAATGAGCTAAAGCTCAATGAGTATACCAATACCATGAGTTATAAAACTTGCTCCTTCCAATTGGGTTCAAAATAAAGATAATAAACATAAGAGTTTAATTGGACTGAAATTTATACAAAATAAAAATAAAAATAATGAAAGTAAACAAAAATACAACTTTTCAATACGTTAAGATTTCATGTCCATCATACGAACCACTACATAGCCGTAGGGTCGCGTTACCTCGCGACTTAGCTGGTGACGGTACCGTTACCCAAAACATAACCATATGAACATAATTCATGTCAATGTAGCACTTCAATTTTCATTTCAATGTTTCGGTCCCTGGGACCCCTTTTATATACAACGACCCTTATGGTCTTTAAAACATTTCGGTCCCCAGAACCCCAAAGCATTTTGGCCCTTGTGGCCTCAAAGGCTATATTTGGTTATATGATCAAAACAACAAAAAAATACCTTTGTACAACGTTTCATTGTCATTCAATCATCATTATAAAATTTGAAGGACTCAACTTAAATAAATTCTCATAAAAAAATTAGTGCTTCATTATACAAATGAAATCATATATTTATTTAAACTCAACCATTGGCCTCAATAGATTTATAGATTTTTCTTTTTATACATATATCGTGATAAAATGTATCATTCACTTCCTTTAATTCAAAATTATCTTCAAACTTTGTAATAAAGATAGAGGTAAGGTAATTTCCATGGTAAATATACTCACCTCCAAAAATAGCAAAAGCGTAGATTGAGACTCTACAAATTAATTCCCAAGAGGTGTGGGGACGCCTTCCTCCAATCCTAACAATTAATAAATAGGACCTAAAATTAAGAAAAAGCTTTCAATGAAAATTATAACATCTACAAAAATGATCCTAAATAAATTATGCTAAGGAATGACAAGCTAAAGAACTCCTCCAACTTCAAGTCAACCAAACAAATAACTTATCCAATCTCCACAACACCCATCCTTTGTACATCTTTGTGTTAGTAACCTTTTAAAGATCCAATCAATTTATATGCACAATACCACCATCAATTAACTACAAAAGTCAAAAATCAACATTTTTTTTTATAAACTCAACAACTTAAGTAAAATCTCTTCAATCATTTATAAAATTCCACCATAAAACATAGAGATATTTAATTCACCATTTATCAAATCAATTCCAACATATAAATTTCCTAACACCAAAATCCCCAATTTTTACATCACATTCAGACCCTAGAGTAACCCAAAATCTTAATCTCCAAAACAACCATCAAATTGATCATTTTTCAACATGTAAAACATTCATATAAACTAATTGAGAGTATAAAATTCAACAATCAAACCCCAAATCATAATAGATCTAAAATATGAAAAAAATTTCATCATCTCTAACTCAAAATATGTAAAACCTTGAACTAAACTTTTAGAGAAAGATTCTTACCAATTACAAGCCTCTAATCCATCAAGAAAATAAACCGTATGCTTTGATTCTTCAAAAGATTAAGAAAAATCTACAGTTGGTACTTCTATTGTGCTATTTTCGGATGGATTTAAGAAGTGGCCGACCGGACCCTTTTTTCCGACGAGATAAGGTGGCCGGCGGTGGTGGAGATGGTGGGTTAAAGTGGTGGTGTAAGGGTGGAGCAAGGGTGTGGCGTTTGGCCACCAAGAAAGTAAAGGAAAATGAGAGAGAAGTTAGAGAGGAAAGCATGAAGACAACGATGTAAACAAAAACAAAATCTGCACTTTTTTTTTTTGTGTTGAAATAGGGTGTTTGGTCACACCTACTATCAAGTTTGGAGTTGGGTTTAGATATCCTAAATAGAGTTTGACATAGGAGTGTGTTTGGCTCTAGATGATCGTTGGGAATTTTATAATTCTACCCCCTTAAAGGAAATTTCATCCATGAAATTTATTTATTTGTTTAGTCTAGTTCATACCTTGAAAAAGATGTGGATATCGAATTTTCATATCATCCTCCCGCTCCCAAGTAGCTTCCTCCAAAGCATGATTTTTTCACAATACCTTTACTAGTGGTATAGTCTTGGAACGTAGTACTTGATCCTTCATGTCCACAATCTCTATGGCTTCCTCTTCATATGACAAATCATCCTTGAGTTGGATTGGTTGGAAATCTAACACGTACGATGGGTCAAGCATGTACTTCTTCAATGTGGATACATGAAACACATTGTGAATGCGAGATAGATTAGGTGGTAAGGCCAAATGATAAGCAGTCTTGCCAATGCGCTCAAGTATCTCAAATGGCCCAATATACATTGGACTTAGTTTGCCTTTCTTACCAAATCGCATCACTCCCTTCCATGGCGAGATTCGTAAAAATACATGATCTCCCACTTGAAATTCCATATCCCTCCTCCGATTATCTGCATAGCTCTTTTGTCTACTTTGAGCCGCCTTTAACCTTTCTCGAATAATATGCACTTTATTGGTAGTAATTTGAACAATCTCTGGCCCTATCAATTTTCTCTCTCCAACCTCATCCCAACATACTGGAGTTCTACATCTTCGCCCATATAAAGCTTCATAGGGAGCCATTCCAATACTTGATTGATAACTATTATTATATGCAAATTCTATTAAGGTCAAGTGTTCATCCCAACTACCTCGAAAATCTAGGACACAAGCTCTCAACATGTTTTCTAAAGTTTGGATTGTCCTCTCAGATTGCCCGTCGGTTTGGGGGTGAAAAGCTGTACTGAATCTCAATTTAGTACCCAAGGCATTTTGAAGACTTGGCCAAAAGTGAGATATGAAGTGAGAGTCTCTGTCTGAAAGAATAGTTACCGGCACACCATGCAATCTCACAATTTCATCCACATAAATTTTTGCTAATCGATCAAGTGAAAAGTTTTTCTTAGTAGCCAAAAAGTGTGCAGATTTGGTCAACCTATCTACAACAACCCAAATAGAGTCATGCCCCTTCTGTGTGCGAGGCAGGCCCAAAACAAAATCCATGGCGATATGCTCCCATTTCCATTCATGTATAGGAAGAGGTTGAAGTAAACCAGCTGGGCGTTGATGCTCTGTTTTAATCTGCTGACATACTAAACACCTTGACACAATTTCTGCTATCTCTCTCTTCATATTTGGCCACCAATAACTTTCTCTTAAATTTCGATACATCTTTGTACTCCCCGGATGCATTGCCTAAGGTGAATTATGGGCCTCATCTAATATCTCCCTTTTTATCTCAGGCTCATTTGGAACACATAACTGATTTTTAAACATCAACACACCATCTTCTTTAATAATAAAGTCTGACAGAGTACCATCTTTCACTTAGTCTTCTCCAAAACTGAGTCTTTCGCTTGAGCTTCTCGAATGCGATCAACCAACAAAGGTCTCACTTTAATTGTAGCTAACAAGGATCCTGACTTCCCAACTGCTAGATCAACTCCAATAGATTTTATTTCATGCAAGAGACTAAATTGAATACCCTGAATGTGATTTAATCTCCCTTTAAATTTCCCACTAAGAGCATCGGCCACCAAATTAGCTTTTCTTGGATGATAATTAATGGTGCAGTCATAGTCCTTAATCAGTTCAACCCATCTCCTTTGTCTCAAATTTAAATCCCTTTGTGTGAATAAATATTTCAAACTCTTATTATTGGTATATATTTCACATTTTTCCCCATATAAATAATGTCTCCACAACTTTAAAGCAAAAACAACTGCTGCGAGCTCTAAATCATGGGTGGAAAAATTGCGTTGATGGTTCTTCAATTGTCTAGATGCATAGGCCACTACCTTTGCATGTTGCATCAACACACAATCGAGCCCTCGATGAGAGGCATCACTGTAAACAATAAATCCTTCACCACTTAATGAAATAGTAAGCACTGGAGCAGAAGTTAATCGCTTCTTTAATTCTTGAAAACTCTTTTCACAATTCTCCGTCCACTCAAATTTGGTATTCTTACGGGTCAAATGTGTTAATGGTGCCGCAATCAATGAAAACCTCTCTACAAATCCACAATAGTAGCCTGCCAACCCTAAAAAGCTCCTCACCTCGGTCATGTTAGTAGGACGATCCCAGTTCACCACAGCCTCTATTTTCTTCGGATCCACAAAAATACCTTCACCCGAAATCACATGCCCCAAAAATACGACACGATCTAACCAAAACCCACATTTGCTAAACTTCGCATACAACTTCCTTTCTCGTAAAGTTTGCAATACCACCCGTAAGTGTTGTTGATGATTCTCTTGACTCTTGGAATAAACAAGTATGTCATCAATAAATACAATCACAAATTGGTCAAGGTATGGTTAAAACACTCTATTCATAAGGTCCATAAATGCGGTGGGGGCATTAGTTAGACCAAAAGGCATAACAAGAAATTCATAATGGCCGTAGCGAGTTCGAAAAGCAGTTTTTGGTATGTCTTCTTCCTTAATCTTAAGTTGGTGATACCCTGATCTGAGATCGATTTTGGAGAACACACATGCTCCATGAAGTTGATCAAACAAATCATCTATACGAGGCAAATGATATTTATTACGCACCATGACCTTATTCAACTGCCGATAGTCAATGCACAATCTCATGGTGCCATCTTTTTTCTTCACAAATAACACAGGTGATCCCCAAGGCGAGACACTTGGCCTAATGAAGCCTTTATCCAATAACTCTTGCAATTGCATCTTAAGCTCCTTAAGTTCTGCTGGGGCCATAAGGTAAGGTGCACTAGAAATTAGGGCAGTTCCAGGAATTAAGTCAATAGCAAACTCAATTTCTCGATCTAGGGGTAATCCAGGTAGTTCATCAGGAAAAACATCTACGACGTCACACACAATTGGTATATCCTCCAGTCTTGGACCACTCAATTCGGAGTCAACCACATAGGCTAAGTATCCTTGGCACCCCTTCTTAAGCATTTTTCTGGCGATAATAGCAGAAATAACATAAGATGGGGACACACATCGATCTCCACAAAATCTAAATTCAGGTTTCCCAAAATTGGAAAATACTACCTCTTTCCTATAACAATCCACCGAAGCATGGTAAGAAGCCAACCAATCCATTCCCAAAATCAAATCAAAATCAAGCATCTCTAAAGGCAATAAATCCGCTACCATCTCCCTATCTCCCAACTGTAATACACAACCATGATATATCTCCTCAATTATAACACAATCCCCAATAGGAGTGATAATGGATAAACAATAGGCTAGAGGTTCAATAGGTTTATCAGCATGCAAAGAAAATGATAGAGATACAAAAGAATGCGTACAACCCGGATCAATAAGTACATGTGCCTCCCTATTGAACACATAAATAATACCTGTCACCACCTCCGGATTAGCCTGAGCATCTCGTTGAGTCAAAGCAAAAACTCTCCCCTGCGAGGTTTGTCTATCGGATTGAACACCTCCTTTATTCTACTTGCCAAACCTAGTCCCAACCTGACCTCCTCCTCGGCCTCCTCCTCGGCCGGCACCTGAAATTTTATTACTACCAACTCCAGTACTAGCAGATGAAGTGGTTCGTGTGCAATCTCTAGCCAAATGTCCGGGTTGTCCGCAATTGAAGCAAGCTCGTGTATCTCCCAAATTAGTCATTTTTGGAACTGTGCAATCTTTCACCAAATGACCCTTCTGGCCACAACAAAAACACAAGTCGGTACCAGCATGACAAACGCCTATATGTGCCCACCCACATTGCTTGCAAACACTTCGAGTAAACTGAGATGATGTCCCACTAGACTGTCCATGACGCTGATTAGAAATGCTTTGGGTTGGGGTGGGATGCTCTTTATTTTTTTGATATGCACTAGAGCTCTTGACTGAACCATAACCATGACCACCTCTCTTTGACGGTCTATTAGATGTGTTCTCATGATGGGATGAACTAAGGTGGCGCTTCTTCTGTTGTTTCGCTAACTTCATTTCTATGACATCTTTCTCAGCTGTTAAGGCTTTATCAACCAAGGTCGAATAGTTAGTTATTCCCAATACTCGGATACGAGATTTGATGTCCAAATCCAACCCATCTATAAAACGATGACATTTGACCTCCTCATCATCCACAAACGAAGGGGCAAAGCGAGATAAAGAAATGAACTTAGCTTCATACTGAGCTACAGTCAAATCCCCTTACTCTAACCGAAGGAACTCTCTCTCTTTATCATACCGATAGGTAGCTGGAAAGTACTTGTCATTGAAAACCTTAGTGAATTGGTTCCAAGTCAATCCTCCGGTGCCACCTGCCGTAAGTAGGCGTTGCGTGGCCTCCTACCAATATTCAGCCTCCTCCACCAGCATAAAACTAGCAAGTGCAACTCACTGCTCGTCTGATACTTCCATCATAGAAAATATCTGCTCTATCCTCCTTAGCCAGGCCTCTGCCTCCATAGGATGGGGCGATCCAGAAAATGATGGAGCCCCCAACTTCCTGAACCTCTCAATTGCGGTGAGGCGGTTCTCTGTAGGTTGCACAAATGGCCTAGACTGTGCTGCATTATGTTGTTCAAGGATGCGAGTTTGCCTCTCTGCTAGGCTAGCCACTGACTCTAAAAGGCGCTGCACACTAGGGTCTAAAAATGCTGGAGCTGCGTTAGCCCTTGGTGATACAACTCTATCTGAATGTCCCACTTCTGGATTGGCACTTGACTCTTGAGTTTGCTCATTATGTGATTCATGTTCAATCTCTTCTTCCTGAACCCGAGGTGGAACTTCATTTCCAACACTAAGATGTGGCTCTCGCTTAGCCTCAAGTACTTCCATAAGGAGGCGACTCTTATGAACTTTTCGCCTTGCCATACGCGCCTGTATAACAAGACAATTAAAACTTAGAATACTAGATCGCTATTAAACATCATCACTAATCAAATTACTAACTACAATACCCTATTAACCTTAATTCTAAAGTAACTAGTCTACAGATTCATAACCTAATGCTCTGATACCAAAAATGTAACGACCCAAACTTGGCAAGGCAAAACCCCACCAAGAGGGTGCACCTCAAACGCTATAGCACCTTTACACCACAATTCCTGTATAATTCTTACATCACATCACCACATCACCAAAAGTGCATAAGACCTTTCAATTGCCCAACATATATGAGATGATCTATTCAAAGACAAAAAGTATTATCATGCTACAAGATAGTTCCCAAGGATTTCCTCCCCAAAAATAATACATACTATTCACGAATCCATCAATACATCCAACTTGATAAGCAATTATTTACAATCAACCTCTTTCATAAAAAAAAAAAGAAGGTAAACTTACATCCTAGAATGACCCTAAGCAAAACCTCAACTACAAGATGCCCACCTTTGATCCTTCAAAAAAATTCTAGTCTTCCAAGTTGAGGTGAGCCACACAAAATTCTATGAATCTGAAAAAAAAAATTATTTAAAAGAATGAGCCAAAGCCCAATGAGTATACCAATACCATGGAGTTATAAAACTTGCTCCTTCCAATTGGGTTCAAAATAAAGATAATAAACATAAGAGCTTAATTGGACTGAAATTTATACAAAATAAAAATAAAAATAATGAAAGTAAACAGAAATACAACTTTTCAATACGTTAAGATTTCATGTCCATCATACGAACCACTACATAGCCTTAGGGTCGCGTTACCTCGCGACTTAGCTGGTGACGGTACCGTTACCCAAAACATAACCACAGGAACATAATTCATGTCAACGTAGCACTTCAATTTTCATTTCAATGTTTCGGTCCCTGGGACCCCTTATATATACAACGACCCTTATGGTCCTTAAAACATTTCGGTCCCCAGGACTCCAAAGCATTTTGGCCCTTGTGGCCTCGAAGGCTATATTTGGTTATATGATCAAAACAACAAAAAAATACCCTTGTACAATGTTTCATTGTCATTAAATCATCATCATAAAATTTGAAGGACTCAACTTCAATAAATTCTCATAAAAAAATTAGTGCTTCATTATACAAATAAAATCATATATTTATTTAAACTCAACCATTGGCCTCAATAGATTTATAGATTTTTCTTTTTATACATATATTATGATGAAATGTATCATTCACTTCCTCTAATTCAAAATTATCTTCAAACTTTGTAACAAAGATAGATGTAAGGTAATTTCCATGGTAAGTATACTCACCTCCAAAAATAGCAAAAGCGTAGATTGAGACTCTACAAATTAATTCCCAAGAGGTGTAGAGACGCCTTCCTCCAATCCTAACAATTAATAAATAGGACCTAAAATTAGGAAAAAGCTTTCAATGAAAATTATTATCTTCAAACTTTGTAATAAAGATAGATGTAAGGTAATTTACATGGTAAGTATACTCACCTCCAAAAATAGCAAAAGCGTAGATTGAGACTCTACAAATTAATTCCGAAGAGGTGTGGAGACGCCTTCCTCCAATCCTAACAATTAATAACTAGGACCTAAAATTAGGAAAAAGCTTTCAATGAAAATTACAACATCTACAAAAATGATCCTAAATAAATTATGCTAAGGAATGACAAGCTAAAGAACTTCTCCAACTTTAAGTCACCCAAACAAATAACTTATCCAATCTCCACAACACCCATCCTTTGTACATCTTTGAGTTAGTAACCTTTTAAATATCCAATCAATTTATATGCACAATACCACCATCAATCAACTACAAAAGTCAAAAATCAACATTTTTTTATAAACTCAACAACTTAAGTAAAATCTCTTCAATGATTTATAAAATTCCTCCATAGAACATAGAGCTATTCAATCCACCATTTATCAAATCAATTTCAACATATAAATTTCCTAACACCAAAATCTCCAATTTTTACATCACATTCAAACCCTAGATTAACCCAAAATCTTAATCTCCAAAACAACCATCAAATTGATCATTTTTCAACATGTAAAACATTCATAGAAACTAATTGAGAGTATAAAATTCAACAATCAAACCCCAAATCATAATAGATCTAAAATATAAAAAAAAATTCATCATCTCTAACTCAAAATATGTAAAACCTTAAACTAAACTTTTTGGGAAAGATTCTTACCAATTACAAGCCTCTAATCCATCAAGAAAATAAACCTCATGATTTGATTCTTCCAAAGATTAAGAAAAATCTAGAGTTGGTACTTCTATTCTGCTATTTTTGGATGGATTTAAGAAGTGGCCGACCGGACCCTTTTTTTCCGGCGAGATATGGTGGCCGGCGGTGGTAGAGATGGTGGGTTAAGGTGGTGATGTAAGGGTGGAGCAAGGGTGTGGTGTTTGGCCACCAAGAAAGTAAAGGAAAATGAGAGAGAAGTTAGAGAGGAAAGCATGAAGATAACGATGTAAACAAAAACAAAAACAAAAACAAAATCTGCACTTTTTTTTTTTGTGTGTTGAAATAGGGTGTTTGGTCACACCTACTATCAAGTTTGGAGTTGGGTTTAGATATCCTAAATAGAGTTTGACATAGGAGTGTGTTTGGCTCTAGATGATTGGTGGGAATATTATACTCTCTCTCTCTTCTCTCTTCTTTTTTACCTTACCACCCACCTCTTTGCCTCACTGTTGCTGCCAACAACCTTCGCGATATGGCTATTACTTCTCATTGTCGACATGGCTCTACCCCTGCCGCGGAGATCTAGAAAACTCTCTGTCACCGTTGTCGTCTTCGATCTCCTATTCCGCTATCGCTCCGACACATTTGGTTCAATCGCAGGCCACAGATCCCCCGACAATCTAAACTCTACCCGCGCCATTATCTTCGATCTTCTCCGTCGACCAAATCTACTCCGCCAACTCTTTTGCTTCTTCACATTTCTTTGATTTATTAGTATTGTTCATTTTTTAATCACATATATGTATGTTTGTCATTAACACTTGTTGTTTCAGATCTTCTACAAAGAGATTTCCAAAGCGACTTTCCTAGGGTTTCACAACCAGCGGACAATATGACTACTACTGATGGACAAGAGGTCCATAACTTGCCAGATTTTGTCCATATATATATATATATATACGAGGGTTGAATCTAAGAGTGCTATTTGCTAGACCTATTCCGGCTTCTTATGGCTGTGGCGCCGTATGTGATGGTGGGTTTGGTGTAAACTCAAGTTGATCGAACGAGTTTTCAGTCAAAGAGACTAGTTTTCACCTTGGAACAGATATAGAGAAACATGTATTGTAGGTTCAATAAATATGTATTTTTTTGATCTTTGATCAATACATCTATTTGTCTTTGTGTGTGTGTGGTTCTTGATCTATGTGAGATATCTATGTTATTGTTGATCTGTTTGTCTTTGTATGTATGTGTGTCTTTGTTGTTGTTCTTCTGGTTGATTGCAACAACTAAAAAAAAAAGATTGGGACAAATAGAGAGACAGGTAAAGTAGGTTCAACATATAGATAAAAAATTTCAACAGATAAAAAAGAAATTTGCGAAATCTTAAACAAATAGATCGAATTTTGTATTTTTTAAACAGATAGAGAAAGATCGAATTCAGATATAAAAAACTGAACAGATAATGAAATTTAAACAAATATTTTAACGGATAAGAAGAAAAATTTGAATAGATAGTCAAAAAAATTTAACAAAATGTTAAAAGTTTGAACAGGTAAATAAAAATTTGAATAGATAGATGACAAACTTGAACAGATGGATGAAAATTTGAACAGATAGTCATAAGAAGTCAACAGATAAATTAAAGAGTAAAATTGAAAATAAAATATCCTTCAAAACACGTAGAAGGATTTTTCACCAAACTATTTCACAAATGATGAACAAAAAATATCTATTGAGCCTATTGCCTTAGACACTCTCTAAATTGAATTTATCATAAATTTTCTCTAAGTACAAGACAATGAAATTTATATTAATAAATATGCATAAAATTATTTACTTATATTTCGGAAGTGAAAAAATAAGTAAAAAAATAATACCATACAATAAAGGCAGTCAACTTATGAATTGTGCTAAGAATTCCAAATAATTTGTCAATTTTTTACTAAAACCTTTTATATGAATATGAAACTCACACATATTTAGATTTATATGATTCACACACTTATGTAAGAAGTTTAATTAAAATATATATATAAATTATTTAAGGTACATAACATTTTCTCGCCTAGATATAAACTTTTTTATGACCTGCTATGTTTCTGGGTTGAGTCTTTGTGGTTAACTAGTTTCATCACATCTTGAATCAACAATCTCATATTTAAATATGAAGAACCTCCTTCTTCTATTGCCTTTTTTGCCATCTCCCCAAGTACTCTTGCCCTTTTCCTTCTCTCTTCTCCATGAATTCTTTCACCCATTACTTTCTCAACAGCGTCCTTGATTGCCTCTCTCTCCACCAACTCCTTACATTTGTCTTCCTCAAATAAGGGTCGAACCCCCTGAGCCCCAACACTTATTCCTATGTCCAAAACCTGCACAACTAACTTCTCATTCAAAAATTGCTCGGCGAACATCGGCCACGTTAGCATCGGCACACCTGCACACACCCCTTCCAGTGTCGAATTCCACCCGCAGTGTGTCAAAAACGCCCCCACAGCCCGGTGCGACAATGAGTACTTGCGGTGCCCAGTCTCGAATCAGAAGCCCTCTCCCATTCGTTCTTTCCTCGAATCTATTTTCTTCCTGTTAAAATTTACCTACACCTACCACCACCTACTACCACACCTACTACACCTACCACCAATTTACCCTCACCTACTCCTCACCTACTACCCAAATCCTCTTCTATATAATAGGAATCCTTGTAATATCAATAAGACAACATCAATACATCAATCAATACTACATCATTTTTAACATTCTATCAGAGCTATAAGATTTAGGCTTGTATTTTTTTCTCACCGGCGGGCAGCCGGCCGGCAACCTTGCCTTCGCTGCCCGCTGGAATTTTTTTTTACACATACCTTCACTCCTCACGGATGGCAGCCTCTCTCACCTTCGGCCACATCTCCGACTGCAACTCCGGCTCCTCCTACTTCAAATCTAGCCCCACCGACACCTCCTGCTCCGACCACCACGGCGCCACCTCCTGTGGTGTCCGCTCCACCGGCCACTCCACCACCATCTCCTATGCCTCCCGCACCGTTGCCTACGCCAGCTGTTCCACCTGCAAAGTTCTTCACTTGTATCCATGGCCAACATATTGCTACGCAGCCGGGAACCATTCTGCGAATACCTCTCTCTCTCTGCAGTCTGTTCCCTCTTCTCCCTTACGATCATGGGCCAGATCATGATCGGCATCAATGGCTTTGGAAGGCTTGGCCGGTTGGTGGCCAGATTGGCTCTGCAACGAGACGATGTTGAGCTCGTCGCTGTCAACGATCCCTTCATCCCCACATGTTCCCCATTTCTTTTCTTTTCTTTCTTTTCCACTTTCACACCCTTTATTTTTTTTTTATTCTCTTTGAATTCCCACTCTTTTCCTTTCTTTTTCTCCACTAGCCGACATACACCTGCATACAGAGCCCTTTTTTTTTTATTTAATCCACCCCACTCCACTTTCTCTTCTTTTCATCTATCTCTTTATCTATATATCTATGTTTCTTTTAATCTATCGCACAGACCATTCTTATTAGTATTATTATTATTTTTGTTTCTTTTTTTATTTTTGCACAACCACCAAAAAAAAAAAAAAAGAAAAGAAAAAGAGACGAAGAACCAATCAAATATGTTCTCTCTTTAATTGATGACATGCTTGCAGCAACCTCAACAAGAGCACGATTCTTTTTTTAAAAACGAAAATAAAAAAAAAAAAAAAAAAAAACTACCAGTTTCCTCACTCATCGCCAACTTTTGGTCCCCTTCTTTTCTTCTTTATCATTACAACCCAGACACACTCATTCACACTGCCTGTATAATAATTTATATCCTTACCTTTGCCTAATAGTTACTTTTTATTATTTTATTTTATAGTTTCCCTTGTTTCCATTAAAAAATAAAATAAATAAATAAAAAATATAATATTAAATAATAAAGATACATAATACATTAATATATATATAGGATATATATATACAGATTTGCGACACCAAAACTTTCCCTTATTTTATTCATGTCGGGGCTCACCCCGCGATCACCATTTTACATAATAAAAAAAAAAAAAAAACATCACAGGCGGGCTTTTTCTTCTCTACTCTGGCTGCAGGTTCTTCTTCTTGCCTCCGTCCTGGGCGGCCCTTGACGGTGTTGCTTCCGTGTTTCCCGCTCCACTGGGCACGATCACTACTCCCTGCTCATCCACTGCAGCATATGGCGGCCCTCCAAATCGGAACATCACGGTGGCCTTCCGCTTCAGCTCCTTATTTTCTGCTTTCAGCACACTTATCTCTGCTCGCGCATCCTTATACATGCGTTGGAGCAGAGCCAGTTGGGCGTTTAAATGCTGCACCTCATTTGTCCTACTCTGCAGCCGGTTCGACAAGTTGTGACCGCCGTCATGGTTTCCACACATGACTTCAAAGTATACTGATTGGCCTCCACATCCGACTGCACTGCCATTCTTTGCTCCACAGACCGCATCGGAAAGTTCAACGGAGCAAACTCCGGGGCGCTTGGTTGAGTTTCCAGTGCCACCGCACCAGTTCTCCTCTCTCGTTGACTCGTTGAGGTCGGGAAAGAGGGTGAGCAGCTCGCGGGAAGACGAAGCCATTTTTCTGGGCTACAAAGTGTTCCACAGTTTTTCTCTCCGAAGAGGCAGAGTTTTTCAGAGAAGGGTTGGTTTCAGAGGTTTCAGAATGGTATGCCTCAGCCTCAGCCTCAGCCTCAGCCTTCGTCTTGGTTAAATAGCCAAGGTAGCCACGCGTATCGCGCGCCACTTGACGCCAGACGACAAACGGGCGCGCCAACCAAGACACACTCATGTCCGGCACACCTTTTGATGAATTGGGCACGCCTTTTGATGGCACGCCTTTTGACAAAATTGGGCACACCTTTTGAGGGTGCAACTTTTACAACGGTTCGACATGACCCCATAAACTGTCCCGACATTGATTCCGGTTAGCATCTCCAACGGTCCGACATGACCCCATAAACTGTCTTCTTGTCCGTTATGACACCACCATACAGTGTCCTCTACACCGTTATGACACCACCATCCAGTGTCCTCTACAACATTATGA